AAGTTCTGCCATCATAATGACCGCCATTATATTTCAATGCGGTAAAAGTCTAATCAATGTAATAATCAGAGGCTATACTCTACACTCTATATATGGAATTTCTGCATACTTGCTAGGAGCCATATTTAGTTCAATAACACAATTACTGGTGGCACTGAACAAACCGCTGCTCAAACAGAGAAACCAAACTCCGTCAAAAGAAGAATATTGGATGAAATAGTAATAGACAAACAAAAAAATGAGAACCCACAAGCAATAACCCCATTCACGAATCAGACCTTAAACACCACATCCCCCGTCCCTACTCCTAAAGAAATTTCCACCAGAAAGAAACAACATATCCCAATTTTCACATTAGAATCACATTAGTTAAAAACACAAATCTGTTATATATATACATATCGAACCCTGAAATGAAGCTCTACTATACCGTGATACGGAGTATTATTGTCCGCGTAACATTAAAAGTACTATTAAGGTAAAATTAAAGCGTATTCAATCGATTGCCGAATAACTAAGAGTAACGCACATTTATTTATTTATTTATTTATTTATTTTTTTCTCTCTCTCATTTCTCTCTGTTTATTTTGCGTTGATATCACACCGATATACAACGATCTAACCACGGAGGTGTTACGTCCCGAGACGTAACTATTTCTTCATTTTGATTTCATCAGCAATCAATTGAAAAACGAAATAATGTATAAACAACGAACGGCATTTTTACAAAATACAAACTCAGCGAAATTAAAAGATGAGTAGTCCGAAAATTTGGGGCGCCCGACATTTTGATTTTTTGATTACTTAACACATTAATATGGGCCGAAGAGTCAATATAAAAACAGAAGACTCGACTATTCGGTAGTTGATTCGCGACGCGTGACTACTCAATAACATTAAAATTTGTTAAAGTTCTTACGGGCTGATTCGCGACGCGCGACAGCCGAACAACGTATAATTCACCTACTGTTATTTTTGAGAAACCATTTCTGTCATTGAATAAATAAATAATTACTTAAATCGAGTGTTCGTGCATCATTACCGACCGACCTCATATATACTTTATCAAGATAAAGCTAAACAGCCAACTTAACTCGAAATAATAACCCAGGTAAGTTCCTGTCACTATAATATTTACTAATAAATGAATGATCATACATATTTTAAAACTACACGTCACGGCTACGTAGTCGCGACATAACAGTACTAACTATTTGACTATTTTTGTTGCACATGTTGTACAAAACAGTAGCATTAGTTATGGATGATTGTTTCAAGCGTTGGAAAATAACGCATGTCCACTTTTTTTATATTATTATCGGAAGGAGTCTGTTGAAATGCTGATCATGTACATCTACGCCCCCCGTAAATTTATTATAATAGGTGAAAGCATTTGGATATTGTAAATCGATTTTTTTCTTCTCAATTTTATCGTAATGTTTAACAGTTGATAGTAGAGTTATACCCGCAGCTGTAGAAAGAATTGATACAGACTTTGAATCAACAACTGTTATGAAATTCATTTTACTGCCTTTTTCATGTTTCACAACATTAGTACCTTTAGGAGCTTTTTTATCTATATCATTCTTTTCTGCAACTCTGTCACTTCTAACTGTTCCAGTTGCTCTAAGACCAATTTTTTTCATATGAACTAGTAAATCTGGACTTGTGAAGAGGTTATCAAAATAAATATGGTAAAGAGATATCTTTCTAGGTGGAGTACTGATAAGTAATTGTTGTAGCATTCCAAGAACGACCATCTGCACTGCATAAAGCCCACGTCTTTATCCCAAATCTAATAGGCTTAGATTTTATAAACTGCTTCAGGGAATTCATTCCAAAATATATCACCATCATTTCATCGATGGAATGAGCTGTCGAAAAAAATCCAAATTGTCTGATGTTTTTTCTAAAAATATTTAGCATCTTTCTTACTCGCCACGCTTTGTCATTATCGTCCTGATCTTCTGGCATTGAGTATTTTATAGACGATTTTATTTTTTCAAATTCATGTCTCGACATTGCTGATATTACCACTTCTGATTTCAACATAGGATCAGTAGACCAATAGTCTCTTTGAGATAGCCTTCTATTGTAAATGGTGTGTATAATTATGCCATTGAATATGTTCAATTTCGTGTAAAATATTGATTTACAATTTTCTTTATTATTTATTATATTTATTATATGCTAAACTTGATAACATAAATATTCAATAAATTTATATGTCCTTGGATAAATGTAATTTAAGTGCATTAAGATTATTTTACCATATGTATAAAATGAGGTTATAACCGTTAGCAAGAGTAGAAGATATAATGTACTTTTTAAATTCTAATGAAAAAAATAGCTCGAACAGTTCAATAAACAAGTAAGATGACAATTTAGTTTTATCTTTTTCAGAGAGCAGTATTTCATTGGACAAAGTTTCGTTGAAAGGGTGTTCCTCCGGTTCCCATCTATACTGCTAATTATTCTCCAACTTTTTCTGTGTTGTAGAATAATTACTCAATACTTTTTCGTAAGATTCATAATGCATAAAACTGTCAACTTCCGAATCACTGTTACTAGCCTCAGAAAAGTTATCATCTTCAAACTCATCACATCCATCAGATTCGAGAAAATCCGAGTCTTCAGAACCATCAGAATTCGGAATGAAAATAGCATCAACAACATCGTCCTTTTCTTTAGCTTCTATTCTTTTTTTCTTCCTACGCGTTACTATCGTTGATTCAATAGCGCATTTTTTCGTAGGATCAGGCTCACAAATAGGATCATTTTTCCTTTTTCTAGGCATATTCCTTAGGTATTCAAATTTTTTGAAAATCAAGAAAATATACGATACACTGTATACCGGTATTTACAATCATTGAGAGCGCAAGTCCGCTGGGATGGTCCTTTACATACGGTTAACAAATAAGACAGTAATTTGCATGTTGCACAAAAATTGTGTAACACAAAACAAAAAGGTGATTGACAAATTCAATAATTTTATTATTCAGGAGTATTCCCAAAAGCTATCGATATACAATACGTGAAATCATTAACTGACATCATATAAATACAAGAATACATCACGGTTCCTTGCGGTTTGAAACTTGAAATTTTTTCTCAAAAACCATGCACTTTACGAAAGTTTTTCTGAGAATAGAAATGTCTTAAAAACAAACAAAGAACGCTCTCAATTTTTTTCAGAATTTTCCGACATAATTTTTGAATTTTCAATTCAGAGACTTCTGAAATCCCAAAATTTTCTCGGATGATTCTGAAAAAATTTGAGAGTAATTTCCAACTAATTCTAAGACATTTTTGTTCTTTGAAAATTTTCATGAAAATCTATAGTATTTGAGAAAAAAATTTGTAAAGTTAAAAGTTAGATAAAAAATTTTCACTTCGGCCGCCATTTTGTTTATACGAAAAATTTTCATATCCGGAGAACCATACTAACTTGTAGTTAAAATCTCGAGACCGCGATCTAAAAAGGTTTTAGGCATTAAAAAAAATGCTTAGGGAACGAAAAGTCGATTTAAAAAAAAATGAAATCAGAAAATCATGTTTTTTTTATTTATTTTTGATTTGTGGACGGTAAAAGTTTTTCAGCGACAATTTTAACAAGCATCATTGGAAAGAGGATACTCGAAAACACAAGAAACAATGGTTCCTGAATTTTTTCCACGAGAATTCATGACATGAGAATAGTATAAACTCAGGTCTCGAAAAACCGTCCTGTGAGCGTTAATGGGTTAATATGCCTATAGTAAATTCATTTGTTATCTATAAATAAAAAAATCCTGATACAAAAAGGACTTTGAAAAATTTCAGATTGTGCATAGTTTCGAAAATGATTAACGTTCCAGTTTTTCCCCAAAAAAATAAGAAAGTAAAAAATAAAATTTTCTTAAGTATCACATGGCCAAGTATCACATAGCCAACTAAAATAGAACCTCAAAAAAATTGCGCTTGCTGCAGTTCTACACAAAAACAAGCAAGGTCTTTATCTCAATATTTTGTTCGTAAGGCTCCACTATGTATTAAAAAAGATAATTTCTGTGAGATCTATCTTAGGAAATAATAAATACCGAAAAATATTTATTTGGTAATTAAAATTAACATTAACTAGGAATAAAAATGACATTGAGATAATTACGATGCTTTGAAGTCTTTATTTATGACGCCCCTATCAGTCTACAAATTAATATACAAACATCAGTTCAAAATCTTTTCAAAATCATGTAAATAAATTAATACTCCAAGTCCATTGTTAATATCACCAAGGAAAATTTTCAACTAAGTTAAAAATGCATTGAATAAACTTTTTTTTTATAGAAACTAATTTGGATAATTAGTCACACATGGTCATAATAAAAAAAGAATTGACTACTTGTAACCTTTAGAATGATTTAAATCAATAACTGAAAATTTATATATTGGTAAATGTAAATAGCAAAGTAATTTGTGTAAACGTGATTATTTATAGAAAGATTTATTAAAATCTGTTTTTTAAAAACATACTTCGATTATAAAATATATAAAAAAACAGCCATTAAAAAGTATTTGTTCTGCACAGAATTACTAAAATGAAACTGACAGTGAAATCTGAGAGATTTATATCATAACTAACTCAGTATATGAATGTATGTAGATGTAGAAGGAAAGATGGGAAGGGGCCAAAAAGGATAGAAATAGTGATTATACCTATGTAAGAAATGAATTTGATTCGACCATAAAGAGACTGTTGAAACTTATGCGACGAATACACTAAAGGCGATTCCGAAGTCTTTTAAGAGTGCTTTAATAAGGGAAAACATCGAAATAAGCATCTTATTCAATTAAATGGGGACTACTTCGAAGGATGCCACGCCCACAGATAACGAAGATTGAATCAAGCGCCAAGATAGGTCAAGATAGATCGAATACTTTTGGGATAAATCTCGTATCAAAATAGGATACCCTGTATTTCACACTTAAATTAAATCATATTGAAAAATATAATTCATTACTCTGTCCCAGTGCCTCGACCTTCTGCACCACTACCAGACTCGCTGTCATCATCTTCGTCATGGTTATCATCTTCTTCTTCTTTTTCAGCATTTTCTTTATTTTCTTGTTCTGCTCGTGCGCAATCATGCACTCCCAAAAGCAATGAATAATCCATGAGATGTAGACGAGTTAAAAACTGCAAAAAGCATAACCATGATGATTACATTGAATAATATAAAAAATTTTATTTTAATGACACTTAAGTAAATTTTTTCTTATTTAAACTTATATAAATTATTTCAAATTGACTTTAAATAATACAAATCGGTATTAAACCTTTGTATCAGTATTCGTTTTGCACACTTACATTTATGAAAAATAAGCTTTTTAAGGTAAGAGTGCAAACCCGAATCAAGCTCGGAAAAACCAAAGTACTTTGGAGCAAGCGAGTAGACATACGACATCGTCGTTGTGCCTATCTTAGTTCGTAATATTAATAGCTAGTAGAGAGCATTTTTCGGTTAGTATGCTCTTTTACAGCTTTATTAAAATCTTCTGTCAGTTTCCATGATTACAAGATGTTTGAATCTATTTGATTGTATTGATTTCAGTCCGTCATATCCTAAAGCATAGTAACACAATATTCTCAAAATTAAATGAAATATTAAGTAACATTTTGTTTAGATGAACTTAAATGGGATCGTTAAGGTAGCAAAAATCAGCAATTCAGAAAAGTTGCCACTAACTTGACTTATCGTTCCATGTAGAGATGTTGGACAGATAGAAATATAATTGATTGAATAAATATTGTACGTGAAACGATTTAGAGAGTGAGAATTTAGAAAGCTATAATTTAGTTTCAAAGAATCGGAGCACAAGTGCGTGATAAGAAAACAACTTAAAGAAAATTCAAATATATATGATATATATGATAATACTACTTTGTAACATCATAAACAGTAACAGCGACATCTCATGTCGTCTCAACACGGACTAAAAATGCTCGATTAGTAATTGAATCAAGTTGTTTCAAAACAAAAACGCTCGAATTAAAAAAAAAACGCGTATAACATCAAGAAAAAAATAAAGGCATTTACTGAGTTCTTTATGATGAAACAATGTTAATTACAAGACCATTAATAGAATTTTTTTTAAACCAGAGTAAAGGAAACTTATAATTTTTATTATTGACTTTCAGATAGCCACCTTAAAAAAACCTTAGAATTCATCAGCATCAATTGAAAAATAGCATTTAAAAGAGATTTCTTACTGTACTCTAAAGTTGATAAAAATATGTAGTTAGATAGATTGAATTTCGTATTGTCGGTAAAACAATTGTTGGATATATTACATTTGATATATTCCTAAAACGAACTTGAACTTGAAATTAAAATAACGAATTTTCGAATGTTCCTATATAAATTGTGGAGAATCATGTAAGAACGCGGCAACGTGTATTTCGAAACTACGTATTTATATATATTTATTGTTATGCGATTGTAATGATAATACATAACTTATAATAATAAACCTTACATGATAGATTGATTTGATGTTATAATTAAAGATAGAGATATGATTAGGGATTTAATGAAAAGTTGTATTCAACCGTTAGAAAAAAAATTGTTCAAATTGATCAGGACTCATGGAATATTCACTGGATATATACGAGGTGTGTTCAAAAAGTAACGAGAATTTTTAAATTTCGCGGGTTTGGAGAGTCCGCTTGTATAAAATTTTTTTTTATTATGTTGGTACACATACCCCTGAAGTACGATAAAATTTTCAGCAATATTCATTGCTTACTTTTTAAGTGGCAGCCGCTAACGTTAGACGTGTTTTTCGAGCTCGGCGATTTTCGTTTGTGAAAAAAAATGGATCAAAGAATTTGTATTAAATTTTGCGTAAAAAATGAAATAATGTGTAGTAAAGTTTGTCAAATGTTAACAAAGGCATATAGTGAGTCTGCTATGAGTAAAGCAAGGATTTATGAGTGGTATAAGCGTTTCCAAGATGGCCACGAAAACGTTGAAGATGACGAACGACCCGGACACCCAAGCACATCAACAACCGATGAAAACGTGAAAAAAGTGAAAGAAATGGTTATGAACGATCGCCGAATCACAATCAGAGAAGTCGCTGATGATGTTGGCATATTAGTTGGCTCATGCCATCAAATTTTTTCGAATGTTTTGGGTATGAAACGTGTGGCAGCAAAATTCGTTCCAAAATTGTTGAATTTCGAACAAAAACAGCGGCGAATGGAAGTTGCTCAGGAGTCGCTAAATGAAGTCAATAACGATGCAGAACTACTAAAACATGTTATAACAGGTGACGAAACATGGGTTTACGGATATGATGTCGAAACTAAGGCTCAATCGTCCCAGTGGAGGCATTCTGGATCGCCAAGACCGAAAAAGGCTCGACAAGTACGGTCGAATGTGAAGGTTATGCTCACTGTGTTCTTCGATTTTAATGGCATAGTGCATTATGAATTCTTGCCACAAGGTCAAACAATCAATAAGCAGTACTACCTACAAGTTCAACGTCGTTTGCGTGAAGCAATCCGAAAAAAACGCTCGGATTTGTGGCAAAACAATTCAGGGCTTTTGCACCACGATAATGCGCCTGCTCACACTTCATTGCTTGTTCGTGAATTTTTGGCCAAAAACGAAACTGTAACGATGCCTCAGCCTCCATATTCGCCAGATATGGCTCCATGTGACTTTTTTCTATTGCCAAAAATAAAGAGAACATTAAAAGGGCGTCGTTTTACAAGCATAGATGACATTAAAAGCGAATCGCTGAAAGAGCTAAAAGCTATTACAAAGATCGAGTTTCAAAAGTGTTTCGAGGATTGGAAAAAGCGTTGGCATAAGTGTATTGTATCCGAAGGGGACTACTTTGAAGACGACAACATTAATGTAGATGAATAAATATATATTTTTTTCATAAAACGAAAATTCTCGTTATTTTTTGAACACACCTCGTATTTCTCCTACTATTACCTCACTTGTCCTTTCTTTCTTCCATTCAACCTTACTCATTTCTTTCCGCTCTCTTACCGCCATTATTCCTCCCCCTATTTCTCTCCCCCTTCTTCCTTCCCTTCTTGAGTCTCTCCACTCTATGTTGTACCCTTTCAGTTGTTTCTCCACACCAGTTCTTGCCCCTTGCCTCTTCACCCAGGTTTCCGTTAGCCCTATTATGTCGAATTCCCTAACATATTCCCAGTCGTCTTCCTCCATGCTCCTCATCCCCGTCACGCTCCAGAATAGTATCTTTACTGCCTCTCGTCCCTCTCTCTCTCCCTTTCCTTCTCTCTATCTCTTTTTTCCCTATTGTTTTAGAAACCCTTCCGCCCTTTTCTCTACCATTTTTCCCTCTTTCTCGCTCTACCACCATTCTTCTTCCTTTGACTTCAGCCCGTTATGCCACACCTTTACCTCTTTCCCTTTACTTTTTATTTCTCTCGCTTTCCTCCTTACTTCCTCTCTTATCTTCCTCTGCTTTCACGTTCAGTCCTGATCTATGTAGATCTTTATCTGTCCCAGCTTCTTTTTCCTCTTCATAATTCCTTCTTTTTGTTCCCATGAAGCGCATCTAATTTGCCACATCTTTTTTCCTCTTTTTCTCCTATCATCCCTCCCCGCTGTCCCTCCTATTCTTCTCAGATTCACTATCTCGCCTTTCCTTTCTAGTTCCTCCCTTAACCAGTCCTCTGCCTCTCCCTTCTTTTCCCATCTTAACCCACCTTCTAAGTCTGTTACGATTATATTGTTTAACCTATTTTCTCTATCCATTTTTTCTCTCATATGCTCTAAATCTTCCTTATTGCCTACTTCTGTTCCTCTTTGCTTCTTATTTCCTCCTTCTATGCTTTCTTTTAGTTTCTCGCACTCCTCTTCCAACTGGTCCATCCTCTCTCCCCATTTTCCTGCAATTTCTTTTCTCTAAGTTCTGCTTTTGCCCTTTCTTCTTTCGTTCCTTTTTTTCGTTCTTCTGTCTCTCTCTCTTGTTCTCTCCTAACTTTTCCTATTTCTTTCTCCCATCTTTCTTCTCTTCTTTTCCTCTCTGCCTCCATTCTTTCCACTTTTTCCATTATTTCTTTAAATATTTCTATCCATTCTCTCCTTTCTTCCTCCCATGCCTCTCTTAAATCCCTTATATCTGCCCATATCTTTTCCATTATATCTTCTGCACCACTTTTTCTCACTTCTCTTATCGTGTTATCCAATCCCTCTTCCCCCCGCCCTTCCATCTCGCTCACCTCATTATCACTCTTGCATCTTTTTACCTCTCTCATTTCTCCTCTAATATTCTCCCTCAGCTCCTCTCCGCTCTCTCTTTCCCTCACCACCTTTACTCTTTTCTTGTTGTTTTCCTCTGGACCTTGCTTAACCATCCTTCTACCCTTATCTCTTAATTTTTCTGTTGTCACAAATCTTTCCATCATTAACCCGTACGTCTTAATTTGTCTCTTACTTCTACTCGTGATGTCACCTTTATTCCCTGTCTTACCTTTTCTGTATCCGACTTTACTTGTTACCGCCCCTCCTCTCTGCCTGCCTTTCCCGCTTCCTGATTTTCTCTCTTAATCTCAAACTCTCTCTCTACTCCACTTCTCTTCCATCTCCACCCTCTTTTCACCTCTGTCTCTCTACTCAAACACTTTTCCCCTCTAACTTTCTCACCAAAACTCGCACTCACAACCAAAACACGTCCACTCTCTTCCACGAGTCGAAACCCACTCACTGGGTATATTTCTTAATAAAACAAAATTTTTACAACAATTTTTTTCAAAAAATTTTTCAATAAATGTTTTTTTCAGCATATACACAATATTTTTTTAACACAAATTTTCACTATTTTTACCTGCAGTGAAAAAAAATGCAAAAAGAAATTTTCTACGAATTAAATTTTTTTCGAAATAATGTTTTTAAGTTATTCAATAAGTTATTCAACTTATTGAAAAAAAAGTTATTCAACTCATCGATTATACTTAGATTTATTTTATTATAGTCTGCTTTGCTGTCCGATTTTCCTTCATTTTCTTTTTTCTTTTAATTTATCTGAGAGTGTTGTGGAATTAAGTGTATAAAATCTTAATTTTTTTTTTATATTTTAGAGTGGCTATATTGATAGTTATGTAGATATACAAGGTGTGTTCAAAAAGTAAGGTGACTTTTCAAATTT